ACTCCACACAGCTCGCCTTGACTACTTCCTTCACTACTTCCTATGACACGGACCTGTTTTCCTCCCTTATAGCATTTTTTTATTGCAGATACCGGTACCTTAATCTAATCGTCATAAACAGTTCCCACACTCTGGACTGCTTGCCTTTACTACTTCCTTCATTACTTCCTACGTCGCGGACCTGTTTCCCTCCCTTCCCATAGCATTTTAGGATTGTAGATATCTTAATCTAACCGTCATAAACAGTTCCCACACTCTGGACTGCTGGCCTTACTACTTCCTTCATCACTTCCTACGTCGCGGACCTGTTTCCTTCCCTTCCTATAGCATTTAAGGATTGCAGATACCGTAATCTAATCGTCATAAACAGATCCCACACTCCACACTGCTTCCCTTGACTACAATGTATTGAGTAATCTTCAGTACCTATAATCTTTGCTCAATAGTAACAACTGGTGTTTTTCTTTTTGTAATGTATTTTGTTTTGCTTGTATACTGTGGATAGACAACTTACATGACTTTTATTGTTTACTTTTTCCTTGTTATTTAATTCAGCCAAGATGGTTACTTAGCAACCCATAAGACTAATGTTAACAAAATGTGACTTTTAGTTTCATTTTTCTATGTAATTAGATATTTGTTAGCAGTTCTAACTGCAGTAAACTCGTTTTTAGGCCAGGAATAAACTCTTTACATTTGAAGAAAATCGTCGGAGTCGTTTTCGAGATCTTGGTGCAAGCATACATACATACATACATACATACATACATACTACAAGCAAACATTGCTCGTATTAGAGTATAGGATAGATAGATTATATTAATGGAGTTGAGTGTAGGATGAGTGGCCCAACCTTTTAGTTTTGAAAGGGACTAAGGCCGACATATTTCTTAGACACAGATGTTAATTAATAGCCAATACAGCAAAAGGCAACTAAGGGGCCTAAGGGGGTTAATAGGGGAATTCAAACCACATTTTTGCCTTGTAATTAACGAATTAGTCTAATTATCAGGGTAATAAAAATGGATATAATGATGTAGTGATGTAACACTTTCATCAAACCACAACTGAAAATTTCAGTATTTAATACTTAACACGCGCTTTTATGGAACATAACTCATAATTTAATAATTTAATTTTTAATTTAATATTTTTTTCATAATTTAGGCCTATTTACGACTCTTTTTATAATTAATCTGTTTGATCATTGTATCGGTGGTCCAAAAATAACTCTGGGGGGAGGGGGAGGGCGTTTTGATTATTTTGTATCGGTGGTCTAAAAATAACTCATGAGAGGGGGGAGGCCAAAAAGTAAGTTTGCAGGGGGGCCTGTAAAAATTTGTTACGCCACTGTTCTTTGGACTTAAGTGATTGCAGCTCATACTCTCTCCACATTGGCTGGTGTGCGAATCTGTTTTTGGGCCTACACCATTCTTATAAATAATAATACCCATTTCTCTATCGTTAACTGACTCAAAACAACTCCTTTTCAAATCAATATTGAAATGCAACCTAAACAATCTCTGTGTTTTTACAAAAGAGTCAATAACTTATTCTAAGAAAAACGTTTCTACAGCATAGCACGGTAATCAGGATTCCAAAACACCATGGTTACTAAAATGGTAACGTTCAATTTTGTTTATGAGAACATCTGCTGTTTACTCATTGTTGCAATATTTATCATCTAGTAACCAAAATAAAGTTGTATAGTTCTCACTACCCCACCCTGGTTGATAAACTACACCAAATTGACAATCTAGGTTACATAAAATCTTCTATATCTATCTATACAGTATATAAAGCCAAAAGTACCCATGAAATTTTGACCAAACTACAAGTCACACCCTCATAAACCATATACTTAAAATGTTCGTCATGACGAGAAACCTTGCTCTAAACCATCCATTATTTCCTCTATATCTATTATTGCCCTATAAGGTCCTAATTGCTTTCCAAAGGGAACTTTCCATACACCTAATGTTAAAAATACCTCAGCTGTATTCATTTGTATGTTATTCTTTTAATTTATTACCTTATTAAAATCAGGTGAGATTATCCTTATATAATACGTGAAGGCGATTTCTTGAAAACACTTACTACTCCTCCGTTAATAATGGACGGATTTTTACAAACGACGTGTCAAAATAAAATATTTTTTGTGTAGACACCCCCTTTCACCAATTCATGTAGTAAAAATCCTCGGGCTTTGCCCCACAGGCCATCAAAGTTGGAGTTTCTCCCATAAGATTAACATGGGGGAATCTAAATATTTGATTGGAAACTTTGTCCCCACTAATTTGAGAGAACGGTTGGGCGTAGAAACTTGGTAGAGGTGTCCAAAGAAAGGTCTTGGTCTGTAGATGAGTTATGAAAAGAAAAACTTAGCAAAATCCCTTAGGACTCTGCCCCAGAAGCCTTTAAAGATCCCTCCACAGAGTTGTTTACATTTTGGCCATGAGAATAATACTTTTTAATGAAACAGCTGTTCATTTTTAAATTGTATTTCAAACAACACATATTTATTGGGAGTTGAATTCTACCAAATAAGTATTTGCAATGTTATTTTCTGATTTTAAAATTGATTTTCTTCTTTATCATGCCATGTTTTGCAATATAACGTTCCATTACGAAATCAGTGGAAAATCCTTTTATCACAGCAATTCTTAGATTATTTCTTATTGAACTATCTTATATCTATTGTACGGGTTGGTGTGTGCCTTTTTCGCCACTTTTGCCTACATTTTATCATATTATTCTACAAAATATCAAATATTTATGTAGAAATATCTGCTCTTATTGTGTCTAATAAAATCCAAACTTAACATTGCCTAAAATGGTACCTATCTTGACAAATAATTTGCACCTGCCTATATTACGGACTTTGGCGCACTGAATTAGTAACATTATTGAAAATAACACGACATTTTGGCTGTAAAATATGGTACAAAGAGAAAATACTATTTAAGCAGCTACTGTCATGACAGAAAGGTCATATTCCTTTTAAACTAGATCACATAATCCTTTGACTGGGACGGGTGGCGTCGTCCTGTAATCCAGCTACTAGGAGGTCACGAATTGTGGATATTTATAGGAATGCACTGTGGATGCGATACTCCCTGGTGTGGATTAACGTCCCCACGAGTGAGTACTACGACTACCCGCAGTGCTATCCTGATAATTATACCAATTCATAAATACCAATGCAAAAAAAAATTTGGTTCCAATTCAACTATAAACTGTAGATCCCTTGGTTGCCATTCGCTGTATGGGCTATTAATTAACAGCTGTATCTAAGGAATGTCGGCCTTAGTAACTAACAAGACTTCAAGATCGCGCCACTCTTCCTAGACTCATCTCCATTCATACTTGGCTTACCTACTATGAATGGTCGCCATGAAAAAAAAACGTATTAAAGGATTAAAGTATTTATCATATACGTTGATTAACAATATGTAAACGTCAATATATACGTAACAGCCATTTTACAGTATTTTTGCTTTTTGGAAATGTTCAATTGCTATGTCATTTTCATTATTTATTGCCAATGAAGCCGCCAAGATCATATGAACTAGGAGGCCCCTAACAGTTCAAGAATAAAAGCCAACTTTACTTCATGTATTCCACTACACCTAACATTCCGTAGAGAGATTATATTGACAACTTTATGTTATTGATAAGGCCGAGCCGAGACAACTAACTGACATCCCCCATGTCAAGGAATTCCAGCTTTATCAGTAACCCCACAGTCAATTTCTCAAAACTATGCCAGAGGGTTCATTCATTGGCACAGAAGTACGATATGAACTGACGCGAAGTGACGAAGGAAAATCAAACTTACACTGTAACGGATATACCTCCCTTTGAAGTTAGAACGTGTCTTCTCAACAAACATATATTTTTTCTCAAACACTGATGAAATCACGGAAGTGTTTAGCTACAAAAGATCCACCAATACGATTTAAATACTATTTAAAGGTTCTACCAAAGGAAGAGATACCATATAACATACTAATAATAACTCCGATGACGTACAGGATAGGAAATATTTTAATCATTGAATGAACAACCAAATTTGGCAACTAACGCAATATTGTTATTGTTTTTACACTTACTCTTTGAACAATGTTAAATGCTCAAAATATGTATATTTCACCCAATTCATCGCAGTTAGATGAATTAACGTAAGCCTTGAAAGTAACCGTCGATTTCGACGGGTTTCCCCTAGTTTCTTTCTATTACTGTATTCTGTTTTGTCTATTTCAGCTTAACCTAACCAACCAATAGTTTTATTTATCTACTTCTTTTAATCTATGTTAATACTTATGAAGTCAAACGGGTTGAAGCCCGTGGGTAACAACAGCTAGTTAAAATAACAGAAAAAGCGAACATAACCTACAGTAGACTCCCTCTTATCCGGACACCTTTTAACCGGACTACACTCGGCGGAAATGACATCTCTTTAACCGGACAATTCTTATCAGCACATTGGTTTAACCGGACTAGATCGGCAGGAAGTGGGCAGTACTGAAACGACTGTTCTCGTGGGAAAGATTTGAGATCAGTGATCACGTATCTAAATACAATGCTCTCCTAAATTTAAGTCGAATATCACAGTAAACAGTCCGTTTTAAAGAGTTTTTGGGGACGTCGAGTTAACCGGAAAAACCGTTATCCGGACTGGCCTCGGTCCCGAGGAGTCCGGATAAGAGAGAGTCTTCTGTATATGACGTGTACCAAAATAAACAACTGAAAAGTTAATCTGTGTGTTGCAAGCTATAAGTTAATTATGTTGGTAGGAAAAATCTTGTATGTCCTAATTACGAGCACATACAGTCATTGCTGCTCTTGAAATGTATCACTTAGCTAATGCTTCATGATTTGACATTGTGCTCTTAATACAATAAAAGCTACTTGATTACTCTAAAGAATAACTTTAGTAATAGTTTTGTCTATCTACATTTCTGTAAAGTTTTATTGTTACAACAATTTGTATGTTTTAGTTCCAAGCAATCACAGGACCACTTCATCAGTCACTTGTAAGTTAAAACCAAACAATTTTTTTGTTGTATTTAACATTCTAGATTAAACACTGATTGACAAAAAAGTTTCACCTAGAAAGCAAAGGTTCATTCATTCACTAAGCCATAAGCCTATTTTTTACATTTTTCTATAAATTTTAGTTCTTTTCTGAGTCTTGTACTGTTGAAACTAACTATAAAACTGATTTTATCATTATTGAAACAGGAGTATTTAACATGAATATCTAACAATGAAAACAAAACTCCTCTGGTATACTATCTGAATCTCCAAATCAATTGAGACCGTAGAATTTTTTCCATTAACACTTTTTTTTATATTTGAAAATACTTTTAACAACCCTTTTAATGTTAAGATTTTAAGTTTAAGTAAGTAGAACTTCTCTAAATGTTGTTACAAGATCGCATTAAATAAAAATATAGATGCTGTTTAAACCACAATTTCTGTTGTAGAGCACTTGGAATATATTATTGGGGTTGGAAGAAGCCCTGGACAACACGGCAGTAAGTAAAACTGAAAAAGTACAGTATATTATGAATATGAATCAATCTCATACTTAGCATAAGGCCTTTTTTATATTAGCCTTAAACATCTTTTTCACCACACTATGATGTTTTTGGCTGTACAGTAGAGTCCCGCAAACTCGGCGTAATGTGGACTGGAAGGATGCTGAGTTTGTGAAATGCCGGGTTATCGGAAACTAGGGTTAAAAATGAGAACAATACAGATTTTAAGCTTTTTAACAGCCTTTTTTATATTACAAGTCAGTATTAAGTCATCAGATATAGTACAACAAATCCTTAGTACCAGTTACGAACAATTTGACTTAAGCTGGCTTGAGTCCATGATTAACTCGGACTCAAAAATTCACGAATTTTCTGAGCCAGGTAATGACCGAGTTATCCAGACTGCCGGGTTATCGAGGACCGAGTTTGCGGGACTCTACTGTATTACATACGTTAATTGGTGGTGTGAGGGAATTTCCGTGTGTGTGTCGTTTTCGTTATCTTATCGCCAAAGATAGTTCAGCAGTGCTGGGTTTAAATTTCCAGGGGTCGATGTGAATCAACAAAATATTGTTGATGTGAAATCCCACTCAATATTAATTTCGTTTCGAATAATCTAAATTATCAATCGTCTGTGTTTAATCAAATTCCTTTATTGAAATGATAGGGTAACTCAGTGAAATGTGCGAACCAGTTGTCGCTATTCACTCATCATCGTTACCCTATCAGACGCGAGAGAAAACGTTGTCGTGTATAATCTATGTGTCGTGTTATCTGTTAATTCAATTCTCGCTTTAGAGTCTATTTCAAGAATTAGGTTCGATAGCTTGTACAGCTAGTTAGGATGCTGAATGTTCTTCGAGCAAACTAGGATCGGTATCAAAGGTTATAGGATCAAACTAAACCTTGCTACGCTCCGATCGTTACCCTAACCCCACGCAAATGCGCTCTATGCAACCAAGAGGGTAAGGATAGATAGCCTGCACAGCTATCTAGGATGCTGAATATACTTCAGCAATCTAGGATAGGTTACGGTAGGTTAATCGTTACCTAAACGCCCGTATAAACCTCGTTCGCTACCCTAAACCCCACGCAAATGCACTCTAAACAACAAAGAGGTTAAGGATAGATAGCCTGCACAGCTAACTAGGATGCTGAATATACTTCAGCAATCTAGGATAGGTTACGGTAGGTTAATCGTTACCTAAACGCCCGTATGAACCTCGGTCGCTACCCTAAACCCCACGCAAATGCACTCTAAACAACAAAGAGGTTAAGGATAGATAGCCTGCACAGCTAACTAGGATGCTGAATACACTTCAGCAAACTAGGATAGGTTACGGTAGGTTAATCGTCACCCAATCGCCCGTGTGAACCTCGTTCGCTACCCTAAACCCACGCAAATGCGCTCTAAACAACAAAAAGGTTAAGGGCAGATAGCCTGTACAGCTAACTAGGATGCTGAATATTCTTCAAGCAATCTAGGATAGGTTACGGTAGGTTAATCGTTACCTAAACACCCGTATGCACCTCGTTCACTACCCTAACCCCACGCAAATGCGCTCTAAACAACCAAAAAGGTTAAGGGCAGATAGCCTGTACAGCTAACTAGGATGCTGAATATTCTTCAAGCAATCTAGGATAGGTTACGGTAGGTTAATCGTTACCTAAACACCCGTATGAACCTCGTTCGCTACCCTAAACCCACGCAAATGCGCTCTAAACAACAAAAAGGTTAAGGGTAGATAGCCTGTACAGCTAACTAGGATGCTGAATATGCCTCAGCAATCTAGGATAGGTTACGGTAGGTTAATCGTTACCTAAACGCCCGTATAAACCTCGGTCGCTACCCTAAACCCACGCAAATGCGCTCTAAACAACAATAAGGTCAAGGGTAGATAGCCTGTACAGCTAACTAGGATGCTGAATATGCTTCAGCAATCTAGGATAGGTTACGGTAGGTTAATCGTTACCTAAACGCCCGTATAATCCTCGGTCGCTACCCTAAACCCACGCAAATGCGCTCTAAACAACAAAAAGGTTAAGGGTAGATAGCCTGTACAGCTAACTAGGATGCTGAATATACTTCAGCAATCTAGGATAGGTTACGGTATGTTAATTTGGATAACTAAGACCCCCCACTATCCTTTAATGATCCCAAATAATCAACAGGCTAACGCTAGCTATGCGAGCACTAAAACAGCTATCCTAGGCTATTTATAAAACAGCTATCTATATTCACGCAATCGTTCAAGTCAATCAAGTTGGATAATAATAATAAGTATTATTATTATACGAAATAAAGATGTTATTAACCAATCAGTTGTTAGGCTATTATAGCTAGCGGCTATTCAGATCAAAATCAAATGCTATATCGCTAGTCAATGTCGAGGATCCAATCACTAACAACTATAATCAACGGCTAAATATAAACTATTATTCCGGTAGTAGATTCGGTGTTAACTTCGATAGCTATCGATTTCAATACGATCGATAGTTCGGACCAGACGCAAAATAATAACAAAACGTCGAGCAGAACACTGTTGTGTTGTGCGTGGCAAATAGGTTATGTCGTTATTAAATCGTAAACACCTTATAGCTAATTAATTGTGTCTCGTAACTCTCTCTACGTTGAATTAAGTACCAGCAATTCGTTAAGCATACAAGATAGGGTAGTAGGCTATAGAATGGCGTACACTGCCCAAAGGATGCTGCTTATACTTCAGCAAAAGGAGAGGTGTTTGGAAGGCAACATTGAGTTTATATGACGTTATATTACACAAGCTTAGGCTATTGTCACCCTCAAATTATATAGTTCTTCAATAACAACTAGGCTAAGGCTTAACCTATTAAATCACTCCTTACCTGCGATACAAGAGGGTTTAGGTAATTGAGTAGCGTGTTCTGCCCAAAGGATGCTGCTTATGCTTCAGCAAAAGGAGGGATATTGGAAGGTGACACAGAGGTTATGTAATATAAGATGTGTAGGTAAAAATCCTTTAGAATACTCAATTGGCCTTGCTCAACTTTTGCTTTCCTCAATAGCCTAGTGTATGCTAACTCGTTTGGATTTGATATTGCTAGTCGGCAAAATTTCATTAACTTCAAACTAATTATTTCACAATTTAAAATCTAAATTAAATTGCAAAAAAAATACCAATTGATCACTGATCAAAATCGAAAACCTCGTTTATCGTGAACAAATTATCGCAAATCAATTAATCAATATCGTTCGTGAATATCAAAACGTAAAACTACTAATTTCCCTGAATCATAAAATGATATCAAGTAGGCACTATACCTTAGAGAGAGACGTGTTGATTGGGTCACAAAATGGCACAGACTGTCTGGCGGCGCCCGGTCCCAGTGGTTTTGTTGCACGTCTGGGCCGGTCATGCGCAGAAACCAGTTTTGGCAGTCTGACTCGGCCTCGGCGGCGGCTCCATCGGCGCTCGCGCTAACTGCTTGAGCCTTACCTCACCGTGTTTAACCTCAAAAACCTTTGGTCTTTCGTACTACTTTTGATGACCCTCAACTAAAAACATTTTCTTCCGACTTCCATCGTGATCTTCTTAAAAAAAAAAGTGAGGTGTAAAAAAACAACCCTTACAGTGGTTGAAAGTTACGTTTTGCTGGCCATGCCAGCTGTCATCGTAATTTGGGGACCGAGCAGGTTTTTACAGGCCGGGGCCGCAAAATCAGCTGTCCGCTTACTTACTTAAAACATGCATTTTAAATACACAATCAAAATCCATAGAATTGCTATAGAATTGTGTTTTTGTCACCGTTGCCTAGCAACTATTAATTTTTATTTTTGCTGATTCCTCAAATGATTTCTTCACATAACCTTAAGTTGTATTGTGTTGACTATCAGTGTGCATTATTATAGTGGTGAATAGTGGTAATAGGGTATAGTGTGGTGAAAAATAGCGTTCGTACCACGGACCGAAATGGTTTTGCAGCTCTCTATCGATTTAAGCTCGAGCCGGCAAAACCTTATTTTCTGCCCTAGGTACGAAATATACTATTTTGAAGAAATATGTATTTTTGGGCTCAACAGAAAAAATCTATGAGATTCAACCCTCGTCAACATGTCCCTGGGAAATGTACGCTTCCTTAACATAGTTTAGCAAATACAACAAAATATTAAGGAAAAGCATTCTGAGCTTAGCAAATACAACAAAATATTGAGGCAAAGCATTGTGAGCTTAGCAAATACAACAAAATATTGAGGCAAAGCTTTGTGAGCTTAGTAAATACTACAAAATATTAAGGCAAAGCTTTGTGAGCTTAAAAATACAACAAAATATTAAGGCAAAGCTTTGTGAGCTTAAAAATACAACAAAATATTAAGGCAAAGCATTGTGAGCTTAGCAAATACAACAAAATATTGAGGCAAAGCTTTGTGAGCTTAGTAAATACAACAAAATATTGAGGCAAAGCTTTGTGAGCTTAGTAAATACTACAAAATATTAAGGCAAAGCTTTGTGAGCTTAAAAATACAACAAAATATTAAGGAAAAGCTTTGTGAGCTTAGTAAATACTACAAAATATTTAGGCAAAGCTTTGTGAGCTTAGTAAATACAACAAAATATTGAGGCAAAGCTTTGTGAGCTTAGTAAATACTACAAAATATTAAGGCAAAGCTTTGTGAGCTTAGTAAATACTACAAAATATTAAGGAAAAGCTTTGTGAGCTTAGTAAATACTACAAAATATTTAGGCAAAGCTTTGTGAGCTTAGTAAATACAACAAAATATTGAGGGCAAAGCTTTGTGAGCTTAGTAAATACTACAAAATATTAAGGCAAAGCTTTGTGAGCTTAAAAATACAACAAAATATTAAGGCAAAGCTTTGTGAGCTTAAAAATACAACAAAATATTAAGGCAAAGCATTGTGAGCTTAGCAAATACAACAAAATATTGAGGCAAAGCTTTGTGAGCTTAGTAAATACAACAAAATATTGAGGCAAAGCTTTGTGAGCTTAGTAAATACTACAAAATATTAAGGCAAAGCTTTGTGAGCTTAAAAATACAACAAAATATTAAGGAAAAGCTTTGTGAGCTTAGTAAATACTACAAAATATTTAGGCAAAGCTTTGTGAGCTTAGTAAATACAACAAAATATTGAGGCAAAGCTTTGTGAGCTTAGTAAATACTACAAAATATTAAGGCAAAGCTTTGTGAGCTTAGTAAATACTACAAAATATTAAGGAAAAGCTTTGTGAGCTTAGTAAATACTACAAAATATTTAGGCAAAGCTTTGTGAGCTTAGTAAATACAACAAAATATTGAGGGCAAAGCTTTGTGAGCTTAGTAAATACTACAAAATATTAAGGAAAAGCTTTGTGAGCTTAGTAAATACTACAAAATGTTTAGGCAAAGCTTTGTGAGCTTAGTAAATACAACAAAATATTGAGGCAAAGCTTTGTGAGCTTAGTAAATACTACAAAATATTTAGGCAAAGCTTTGTGAGCTTAGTAAATACTACAAAATATTAAGGAAAAGCTTTGTGAGCTTAGTAAATACTACAAAATATTAAGGATAAGCTTTGTGAGCTTAGTAAATACTACAAAATATTTAGGCAAAGCTTTGTGAGCTTAGTAAATACTACAAAATATTAAGGAAAAGCTTTGTGAGCTTAGTAAATACTACAAAATATTAAGGCAAAGCTTTGTGAGTGGGACTCTCTCTCAATATAAGCTTGGCATCAAAATAAAATATCCTATACCTATAAATTTTAAATGGCTTACCTGGATAAAGTTATCAATGGTTGCTCTCTAGAAAGTCTAAAATGCTGTACTAAAATAAGATATGATATGTTTGACAATTGATTTAACATTCTTAGAGGTAGGCCTACAAAATACAAAAATAAAAACAAAAAAGAGTGTGACTTTTTGACAAATAATTCTGTTCCTTTAAGTCATGGGTTTGATGATTTGATTTTTTTTTTCATTTTCAGGGTCATCTAGAAAAAATGGTAAGTCAAATCTAAAATTTACATCCAAATATTTTATGATTCTATACTTTTGATCTTGTACTTATCGTTCGAAAAAGATTACTGCCAAAACATTAATAATATTACAAATATATACCTCATCATTTTTTATCTAAACCACAAATATGTTGAAATTAAAATTCAGAATACTAATTTGACAAAAAATAATTAGACTCAAATCTTTATAGGGTATTTGTCAATTATCACGAGAGCCACAAATTTTAGTTCATCAAGAAAACCCCGTCGGTTTGTATCAATTTTTTGTTATATTGAGATGATCAATTTTAGAGGTCAAATTTGATTTGAATTACACTCTATAAGTTATAAGTCTACCAATTGACAGTGTATTTGTTCACTCTGTTTATTTTTTTATAGAGCAATAAGCTGATTGGAAGTGTTCAGTCACCACCAAGAATTGGACCAGTAAGTAATACTAAAATTTGTTTTAAGAGATTTTTTTTAAAGAAAATAATTTAAATTTAAACTCTTTTTGCTTAGAAATTATGGAATGTTTTTTTAGAGGTGCAAACACTTATGCCTTTCTTGGGCAAAACACCTTTCTTGCAAAACAACACCACGAGTGTTTGTTCAGTCATCAATTGGCAGTCACGAATTGTGGATATTTAGAGGCATGGTCTGTGGAAGCGATCAGGGCTAGAGATATACAAGGGCTAGGCCACGCGAGCTCAGAAAGTGATGCCAGGTGGCTCCCCACCACTCCGCCGCTGTGACGTCACGGCGATACCAATGAATACACAAACTATAAAGAAGAACAGGTCCTATGGACAATATTCTAACAGTATTTTCAAATTTGGCGCCCGAAATATCTGTAGTTCTGCACTGAACCACCACTCAGCGCTGTAGTCAAGTTTAGCACGCGGTGTGTGCGAGAGAGAGCGACATACACCGTTTTCGTCCCCTGTGGGCCAGGCCACGAGAGAAAGAGAGAGGGGGCGAAAACAGTGTATGTCGCTCTCTCTCGCACTTCACCGCGTGCTAAACTTGACTACAGCGCTGAGTGGTGGTTCAGTGCAGAACTACAGATATTTTGCGCGCCAAATTTGAAAATACTGTTAGAATATTGTCCATAGGACCTGTTCTTCTTTATAGTTTGTGTATTCATTGGCGATACCTCGGGCGCCCGGCACCGTATATCATTGCCTGTGTGAGCGCTGGTATTACCGCACATTTAGCGTTTATTAAGCTCTATGTTGGACATTTATTATTGAGTGAAAATTTAAAAACGTACGTTTTCATGTCCCTGGCCTTTTACTTCGTTGATACTGGATTTGTAGTCTATTATTATGTGTTTTAATATTTTTTGGGACGGGGGCAACATGTTACACACATTTATTTGGTTTTAAATAGGTTCTTGGTATTTTTTTCGTATTTTTAAAGTCTCAAAATTCACGACCATGACGTGTCCCTAGGGTACATTTTCCAACTTTCACGCTGTTTTTAGACTAATTATTCATGCCAAAATATATAAAGCCATATTTTTATGTCATCAATGGTTATTAAACTTACAAAAAAGGAGCATATTATAATTTTATTGTCATTGCAAACTGACTACCATGACAAAATAAGTCTGTCCCTCGATTTGGCTTCACGACCATTTGGGAAAAATCTTCAACTTTGGAGCACGACAGTGGCAAGCCTGACGTCGATGGAGTCAGTTGGTTTTAGAGACTAGTTCGGGGTGTACGTCAGGATTGTAGTGCCGGTCGTTTCGAATTGAAAGGAGGAATTACAAGATTAATAAAGGAAAGATTGTGTTTTTTGTAATTTTGGTGTGTCCATGACCGTACGTAGTCATTCGATGAAGTAGACATGGTGTTAATTTTTGTTTATAAGATATTTCAATTGCTAGATTAACCTAGAAGTCCACTTTGTATCCTCGAACATGAGGTGCAGGGCTACCGCCAGAACAGAGCCAAATAACACGTAATTTCACGACCAAAGTTTCACGACCATCGCGGGTTTTTTCACGACCATTGCAGCCTTATGGATTATAGTGTGTTTGGTCGTGACAATAACTTTAATATAATTGTAAATTGAACAGTTTAGTTCAATTGAAACACATATTTTTATTATAACTAACAGTATAATTGAAGGATTGTTTAGAAAGATTTAGATTATTTCAGAAAATTCACGACCGTACCGCTTGTCCCTGACCATCACGTTTACGATTTCTATCATAAAAATTTCAAAAATTAAAATATCGTCATATTTCAATGTTTTATACACAAAATAAGCACACCTTTATACAAACATAACGATTTTTCGGGTCTCAGGTAAGTTTGTTCGGAGTTATACAAACTTAAAAAGATTTTATTGGCTTTTTTTCAATTTTTTGAGTTTTTTTATTTTTTTCTAGAAAGACCAAATATACCAAAAGCTCAGTGACCTTTTTACTGTATAATGGTCATAAAAGTAAATTAGTTTATAGCAAAACATAGTTATAAAAATAATATTAACTATTTTCAATATTCATTTAAACGTCTGTTATGGTCGTGACAGGATTTTGTGTTTTTCCACTAAAGATGCTCTTTTTAAAAAAAACTACCAAAGATATTGCGTTACCATGGACTTTTTATGAAACTTCAAATGTTAATTAAATAAAAAAAATAATAAAAGTTTTGAAAAAAGGGGGAAAAAATTTGCAAAGTGCTTTTCCTGAAAACGTACGTTTTTAAATTTTCACTCTATTAGGTATTAATGCATTTTATAAAAGTAATTGATTTTAAAATAGGATTACGTATAACATCAATTTTAATAAGTAACAAATTAGATATTTAAGGATGGGAGTGGAATGTAAAGCGATGGCTAAGAATACTGAAGTTATTGATTCAATGCATTAAGTTACTGTGTAATATCTGTGCTCGAATTGGTTAGTGTATGGATTATTAATTGTATTTATTTATTACTTATTTATACCTTTTAGGATTCATTGGGGTTATATAAAATGAGGTTGTATAAAAATACATTACCTATACTTAGTATTTTGTAACTTTTACAGGAAGGAAAAGAATTTCAATTAATCAATTACATTTTATTATAGGCCCTACATATTTTATTACATTAAAATAACATATAGTTGGAAAAATACATTAAGTTGCCTGACTAACTAACCTCAATCTCTGTTGACCAATAACTAACAAGTCGAGTTTTGGTGTGATTTTACTTTATCAGTTTACATCGTGATTATAAGTTGTAAATGTTTAGTTACGATATTATTTATTGTGCCTCGACTGTAATGTGACATTACTTTTAGAAACTTGAGACACTATTTTTTATCCAGTTTTTGTGAACTTCATTGACTGTTTACCAACAACGAATATCGCGGGTTTGAATTTGTAGCGTACTAGGCCCACATGATCTAGTTTATGTATTAATATATTTTAATGTCTTGACTTGTAAAAATTTGTTTGAATGCCAAAAGCAGGTAAAGATAATATCCTCTTGAAAATGATTGAACAAAACTTTTATTTTAAAATCTTCATTATTTTTCATAATAACATTCAACTTAAATTCTTGAAAATAAGCTCTGCTCATCAAAATTATATTAAGTTTCAATCTTTTAAAAATTCCTTCTTGATATACTATAGGCCTACTTAAACAAATCTTGACTTTATATAAATTTTTAAGTTGCTTCTTAATCATGAGCCCTAAAAGAAATAAAATTAATTAGAATCTTTGTGAATTGAGATTTATTCAAAATCTGAAAAAGAGAGGACATCTGTCAACATATCTAAAATAAAACTAACTAAATTTAAAATTTTTAAGAGACTTACCCAAAACGTGGGGTAACTGACCAAAAGAACTAACAAACTATAACTTTACTTATCAACTGGTTTTGCACAACTGAGCCGGACAAGAAGGGTGATTAAGTTTTGTTTGACCAAGGCAACCCTGTGATTGGCTGAAGACCATGTGCTTCAAACAATCACTGAGTTACCCTGGCCAATCAAATTGTCGTCTCTTTTCCTTACAGGATCTTGCAAATATTTAAATTTCTGTTTTAACTGACAAAATTGAACTAACATGTTTGAATCTTTCATGACTGAGCAGAGCTAAAAAAAAGAAAAATACTAACTTGAATTTGTTTTTTAAAGAGTGACAAAAAATACAGTACCAAATATAAAATGCTACAAATTTCCCTCACTTAACTTTTTTGTTACATAAATAAACAAATTATTTGATCTACAAATGAAATCATTTAGAATCAACAACAAAGGTTACAATAAGAGATAAAAAAAAGCAATGCTATAGTGTCTGGTGGTAACGCGTGGTGCGACAGCTAGGAGTGTGACACAATGGTGCAGACGACAGGCAGACCTCCCCGGTACATTCCGTGTAAGACAGGAGCCCTCGTCCCAAACGTTTCATGTCAGTCAGTGTGTCCCTGGTTTGTGTATTGCAAGCAGGGCCTGCGTTGAACTGTCTTTCCACCAATCTCGTACATTACATAAAACAAGTATACAAAATCGTTAAACACTTAAAATATCAATTGACAAATTAGTAACCAGCCTATTAATCATTTGCGACATTGATTTACTCATTATTTTACTTTCAGACAAATTCAAAATCCATTGTGAAAAAACTATTTTTGCAAACAATAAAATTCCATATTCCTTTCTCAGCCCAAAATGCAAGTCAAGTGATCAGTGATTTCACACCTTGACAAGTGAAATGTTTTGTCCAGTCAAGTGTAGTTTTGTGTGTGTGTCAAAGTGTGCGTCAAAATTACAAAATTAAAAATAAAATATAATTATTCCAGTGTTGGATTGCATGTCAAGTGTTGTCCAGTGAAAGTGGTTTGTTCAGGTTCAAGGTCGTCGTCCTTTGCATCTTGAGTTTGGTGGAATTCTACATAGAAGGTACAAAACCGGTTTTAGCCTACAAGACATTGTTTGACTGTTTAACTTTTCTCCATTATTAATAAACATTTCAATGATTTTATAAATTCTAAAAACAATGTATATTTTCCATCTGGCTACTTATTTCAAACTGAAATTAAATAAAATAAAATCTTAACTTATAAAACAACCTGAAATTAAAAAAAAGATTTTCTTTTACATAAAATAACAGACCTTTGTTTACCCTTTTTTTTTACCTGTTACCTGTTATCATTTTACCCTTGTTCAGCTTTTAATTGTGATACATGTACTCTTTTCACAATATTAGGGTCATTCAATTTTTGAACAATACAACTTACATCTGAAATAAAAATAAAAATTTTATAGGGTCCTTCAAATCTGAGTGCTGTTTTCCCTTGAAACTTCTTTACTTTATTACTCAGATGATATGTCTTCAAATAAACAATACTGTTTTTCTTGAAAGGATATTTACTATTTTCTTCATTATACTTAAGCAAATTTGTATTTAACTTGTTTCTTGACTTGTTGTTTGAAATAGCTTGA